AATGCACAATGCTGTTGGTAAGACAGAAAGAAGGATTCAGCAAGGACATTTGAAACACAGGGGGCTAAAAAGTATTCAGTCTCATTGTTGCATGATGACATGATCAGTCCTATGCATTTTGGTTATAAGTCAGAAGTTACCTATTAGAACTCACAAAAAAATTTTTTACAAAGTAAGGATGACAGGTTTCAGAGAAAATATAGCACTGCCAATTTTTTTTTCTTTAGGTTATGGAAATTTGGGTGGATTATCTGTTCAGAGGAGGTTTCCTTTATTAATCCCCCCCACCCCATTTTTTTCATTTTAGACATCTGTTAACATTTCATAGAGTCTAACAGATGTTGCAGAGAGAGTCCCTTACATAATTCTTAGGGAGAAGGGGATGATAAAGAATGACATTTCCACAGTAGAATCACCACCACTCTGAATATGACCATCAGGATGGCTTTGCATAATTTTCAAGTATGAGATTATATTCCTGATAGGACACAATTCACAATGTTGTTGTTATCCACGGATAAAGTGTAAACATGATTGTCACAGTCTGTGATCACACATTATTCTAATGACAAATAGAAGGATTCCCTCGTACTTGGTGAAATATGTACTTTTTTGGAGGCAGGATTGAATACTCAGTTACAAAATGTCTTTAAAACAACTCAATTATATAAGCTTGGTTGTTTCAGCACAAGCAAGGGCTGATTATCATGCGATGTGGAGGACCATTTTCATTATTTTGGCAAGAACAGGGACAGTTTTGTCCTGACGAGCTATTAGATGAATACCAGAATGTGTCACATGAAAAATCACTGATCTTTAACCCAGCTATCTACTTAACCAAGCCTAGAAATGAATAGTGAATAAGGGAAGAGCAAAGGCCAGTTTACTGTCATTACAAATTACAGAAACTGTTAATATCTGCAGCAAAATGAACTCTGGGAATTACAGGTACTATCCAGTAAAGTCAGTCGAGGGTACAGAGATTTAGGAAAACTATGTATACAGGTAGGAGATGAGCAACTGTGTATGTCATGTGTATATAGTATGTCGCTACTATTGAAAATCGGAACATTTGCATAGAAAGACATAAAGATTTTCTGAACCTTTTCCCAGTACCTTAAATGAATCCTGAGAATAAACACCAAATGTAAGGAACACTCCTTTAGAGTAATCAATTGATATTTATCATTAAATAGAAATTTTAAAACTAAATCAACAGAAATAATAACTCTATGCTCACTGTTTTATCTTTTTTTTTTTTCCCCAGGAGTAGTCTCGGGGACACTGCTGCATGTACAGTTAATATAAACATTTATACTGAACTCCTAGATGTTTGAAAAACAAATACTGTAAAGATCAGTAACATTTTAAAATGATCAGTTATGGGAATTAATGCTTACAGAAAAACACCATTCTTTCTTGCCCTGCTAGTAGAATTGCATTGTCTCCCTACAGTCTTGTTAGCTCATACTAACTGAAATGCAAATTCTTTCCAACTAATTGGACCTTGTTGAACGTACATGTACAGTACATAGTTATATGCATGTAGATTTTTTTTACTAAATTCCTCTGTAATTATTTTCCTGATTAATATCTAAAGCAGAGACGTGGAACAAAAATCTCTTTAAAGAGTTTACATATTATTGAACATTAAAAAGATAGTAACTGTTGCATGTTTTAACAGCTTAATTAATAATACAGAATAATTGGAACAAAAAGAAGAAAATATTTTTTCAATGTTTAGTCATTTTGAACTATTTGAATTAACCCTTTGACTGAACTAATTAACACTTAAATGATCAGAATAATGGAATATAAAACAGTAAGATACGTTTACTTTATATAGCACATTCTGCTGGCTTGGTTTTCTTATTTGCATCACCTGGGCTTTCTGCAATCACCTTTCCTATCCTTTCTTGCCATATGGTGCATTTCTGTATCGGTAGTTTTAAGAGGAGAGACGAAATCAACTATGTTATATTTTTAAAAGATCGATGAAGCCACACATGTAATGCAATTGTCTTTGATAGTAGGTAATAAGTATTAGTTAAAATGAAGAGAAAGAAAAAAACTCTTAACTTCACATACAGTGCACAAAGCACTGAAAGTCTCAAAAACACAAGTAGACAACTGCAACTGCGCTACGTTTTAAGTTCCATTAGAACCTGGATTCTGTAGCCGTAGCCACCTCTTCTATTCAGCACCCGGGTATTCCCAGGGGCTGAAAATGTAAAATAATTTCACAGATCCTTTTATCTTTCAGCACAAATGCCATTGGATAGCAGTAAAATACTTGCAGAACATATTCCTGATTAAAAATCTATTGAAAATAAGATATTTTTTTTAAATGCTTTTAAAAGGATTTGCTTTAAATGCTGTTAGAACCCTTACCTTGTCTACACTGTTTCTGGTTCTCATATGAGTTAGCCAAAGGGGAGTGAAAAAATACTGTTCTGCTCAGTTTGTGCCAAACTTGTATACTAACGAGTAGTTCCTGTGC